AAGTGGGAAGCCAGGGGATTCAGTGTGATCACAGTTTCTGACCAGTGTGGAGCTCTATGTGCACTGCCCCGCTTCCCCCACCGGGACAGTGGCTCAGTCCTGTCATACTATCCCTCAATCCCCGACAAATCCATGATTGCTCTTAATTCTTCAAAACCAGTGTGCACCTCTCCTTTACTCCTCTATGTTAGCCATGGTAGCCCGATTCTTATTTGCTCAGTTGATTCAACTTATACAATAAGGCAAAATTTAAGGACACTAGGAACCCTTATATTCTTGTCAGATTGGTATATATAGCTATTTGTATAAAGCTTATCCTATTTTTTTTAAAACAGGCACTTATATAACATTTATGACAGTCTAAACATTTTACAAATACAAAAAGTTCAATCCTTATATCATCCCCCTAAGGTAGTTGCCATTGTTATGGCCAGTTTTGCAGATGAGGAAAATGAGGCATGGAGAGGTTCAATAATTTGATGAAGGTTATACAGCTAGTCAGTGGTGACATTGGGGTTTGAGTCCAGCTTTTTAAGTATCATACTGTGCTGCATCATGGGTCTTATAGCGCCTCAACAAATTGATATCATTGTCTTTTTCTCATTTTCCAAGGTGTTATAATCTGAAATAGACTGTTAAAGGAATGATCTATCATATTTAAAGGAATAATTTACATATTGTCTTTTATAACATTGATTAGATAGTAATTTTTGATGGGTCTACATTGTTTAGAAAAATTTAACATGACTGTGCTTTTGCATTTAGTTACTGTATCTAATGTAAAACATACAACAGCATTTTTCTACACCCCTAGTATATCAGTTTGTTAATGCTGCTGTAACTGCCTGAGTAGGTCCTGTTGGCTCAGTCCTCTTATTGCAGCTTTGCTCTTGGAGTTATTTTTTTTCTTCATTTCGAACAGTCTTTGCTCCTTTCCTTCCAGGCTGGCAGCATTTCCGCTGGTAAAAAATTTTCAAAAATTTTGTTGCCTCTGTGCAATTCATGGGTGTCCAAGCCATCAGACAAGAAGTTCCTCTGCATTCTTTTCCTGGGTAACCACAATTCCTGGCTTCTGCTGAGATGGTTGATTTGATCCATCGATCACATGCCTGATCTCCTTAGCAAATATTTGTCCAGCCAAACCATTGGCCAGGTCTCCAGAGCATGCTATGTGCATAGGCTAAAAAATTCCCAGACTGGTTCCTTTGGTGTAGCAGTTCTTTCATCATTTTATTTCTTTCCTCTTCTAGCTTATGATAAACCACAAAGAGAACAAAGCTGCACTTTTACGTATCCAAGTTCATCACTTACAGGTTTTACCATCCACCTGACAAAAAACAGTTGTGTTACTTCATCACCTTTCTTCCAGGGTGTGATACTACCATACTCTTCATTCCTTCTGGACCCACCAGAAGCACCCTTAACAAAGGTCATTTGTGGCAACAGTATGTTCCTGACTATATTATTCATGACAATAGAAGCTTTCATTATTCTTCTCTTCAAAGTCACTTCCACACTTTTAGATGTTTGTTACAGCAGTACCTCACTTCTCAGTACCAAAATTTGTTTTCCAAGGCTGTATATTAGTGTCCTAAGACTGCTTATAACAAAGCATCACAAACTGGGTGGCTTAAAGCAACAGAAATTTATTGTCTCACAGTTCTGGCTATTAGACTCCCCAGATCAAGGTGCTAGCAGGTCTGTCTTCCCTTTGAGATCCTTTCTTGCCTCTTCCTCGTGGAAGTTAATCCTTGGTAATCTTTGCCTTATAGATAAATTACTCCAGTCTGTTCCTCCATCTTCACGTGGCCTTCTCCCCTGTGTGTTTGTTTCTCTTTTTTTTCTGAAGGACACCAGTCCTATTGGATTTAGGGTCCATCTTACTCCAGTATGACCTTAAGTAATTACTTCTGCTATAACCCTGTTTTCAAATAAGGTCACATTCTAATGTATTGGGGGCAAGCACTTCAACATGCCTTTCGATGGGGATGTAATTCAACCCATAACACCAAAATAACAACTCTAACAGCCACGTGAAGTGGCTGCTAGGTTTGTCTTATTTTAAGGTATTCTTTCTTTATTTGCTGTCTAATTATCATTTGTTATAGATAGACTGAAAGGCACAGTCATTTCGTACACTTTTGCATGTCTTCAAAGCCTTCTTCATCCGTTTGCACATAAAAGCATTTTTTTTCATAATTAGCCATCCTGTATGTCACAAATATGTTAAAGTAACACCTCAGTTTGGGTGTTTTAAGTATTAATTTCTTATTTTATCAATCCTATATTGTGGTTATAAATGAACTTTCAAATTTTACAATTCAAATGACTTAGTATTTTGTTTTAGAAAGTTGCTGATTTTTAAGCATTTTCATCTTTAAATTAGATTGTTGGTTTTCAGTGTAAATAATGGATAGTATGAATTTGGCTTCCTGGAAGACAGGAACAAATAATCACACCATGAACAGATAATCATGATTCTGTGTAATAAGTCTTAGGATAGTGAAATAGGGAAGAATTGAATGCATACAGACTGCTGATAATTCTCTTTAAATTTGGACTTAGCATTTTAAACTACTTAAAAATAGTATTAAGAATAGCCATTCTTCACATTATTTTCATATCAAAAAGTTTGAAAAGTATTACCTATTGTTGGTTATTGCTCTTTGTACCAATATATGTTTCTTTATTTCTAAATGGGACTGTTAACATTTTTCTTTCCTACTAAGAAAGTTATACAATGTGTTCTCTAAATGATCTTTCTCATTTAATCTTCATAGGGGTTTGGAGGAGTGTATTATTTCTCAGTATTAACAAGAGCAGATTTCTGTATGCTGCTGAAGTTTGCTGTTTTTGACTCTGAGTCTAATACTGTTCCCTGAATTATTTTGGGCATGTTATGACTCTTTATTTCTGAATATGTAAAATTAAAGATAACAGTTAGTTGAGTGGTAGGCATTGTTCCATGTTTACAACATACTCGGAGAGGGGAATGAGAAATGAAAATATATAAGACAGAATTCTCCCATGCCAAAGAAACTTAGTGTCTATATTGTCCACTCCTTTATTTTTCTTCATGAAGCAAATATTAATAACACTATAAGAAAATAAGAGTTTCTGCTGGTGAGTCTAAACTTCTATTTCTCCCTGTAGTGAAAAGATTGCATCTTAAACCAGAATATCTTTAAATTTTTCAGGATCATTTTCCATATTCCTAAGCCCAGATAGTTGTAGCAAAATGACTTAGAACTCTCTGTATACCCAACTAATAATAGAAAGCAGTGGTGTAGATAAATACTTCTGTATTCAAAGAACAATTGGTACTGTTTGCATTGGTGTTTAGGATGAATTTTAGGGATAGCAGAATAGTGAGCAAGAAGGCACCATGGCAGGATTAAAAGTACTGAGGTAAGGAAGCATATGGTACATTTGGGCTCTGGTGACTATGCTCTTTGGGTTAAAGAGGAATATTCATGTTGACATGCAGGGGTGAGAGAAACTTCGGAAGCATATGGTACATTTGGGTTCTGGTGACTATGCTCTTTGGGTTAAAGAGGAATATTCATGTTGACTTGCAGTGGGAGAGAAACCTCGGAGTTAAATCTTAGCGTTTTTGAATGCTGAACTCAAGAATTTAGACTCTATTCTAAAGGCAGAGAAGTGTGCTTATACCTTATTGAACTCAGAAATGAAAGAGTGTAAGATATTTGAGGGAGATTAAAGTGACAGCTGCAAAGATGAATTGGTGCTGGGAGGGACTGCAGGCAGGGAAATCAGTTAGCTTTTTTGGGGTAGGACATTGACAGGGCTAGCACCTTACAGTGAAGCTGGATGGATGCTGGTAGAAGGAATTGATGCAGAAGACATTTTAGAGGAAGAACTAATGGTAGATAATGGCAGGCTGGATTTCTAGGGGGTAGAAGGGATTAGAAAATGTTGACTGAATGTAGGGGAATAGAATTGTGGTTTTATTGATAATAGAATTTTTGTTTAGAGTTGAAGAAGTTGGTTTTAGGCATGTTGAGTGTAAAAAAGTGTTTGCTGAGCTTTCAAATGGTAATACCTGTCAAGATTTGAACTCCATGGAGGGACATTTCAGGCTGGAGATTATTAAAGCTTTGCCCTAATTTTCATGGAGATGATAATTGTATTACCAAAGTATTGAGAGGCTTACTGTTTGAAGGCTGTTGTTGTGTTGACCAGTCTGCCATTATAAAGGCATATATTAGTTACATCTTTGAGACTGCTTCTTTACCACTATTTGAATGATAATCTGCCTTATTACATAGAATATTGGCCTAGACACAGTTTAACCTGTGTGAGGTCTTCCAAGGAAACTTGTTTTATATGCTATGACTGGTAAATATATACTCATAAGAATCAAAGTCCTAGTGGATTCAGAATGATCTTTTCCTTAAACTTCCCACCTTACTAGTGGGTATGTTTGTAGTGGTGATGGTGGGTGTTTCACATGATATGCTGTAGCAGAGACTGTTCACTTGCTTCAATTATTGGTTAATTTGTGAGAGTATGTGTGTTAATAAACATAAATGTGATTAAAATAGATCTTGGGGAAAATTTCCTTCAACCTATTGGTTAAATTATTCTAATTACATATTCATTGGCTACTTTTGTTCTTTAACCTAGGTTTTCAGCTTTACAGACTTCCCAGCATTTGGCTCACAGACACGTCCATGTGATGGAGTGTGATCCTTCTGTTTCAGGAAATGCTTTCGAAGTGTGTTTTTCCTTCCAGTTGTTTGCCTGATAAACTCTACAGTGCATTCTAACATTTTATTTTACCATTTATAATGTGAATATATAGGTTGATAGCTTCATTCAGAAGAAATCAAATTTATCACACACTGAATGTTTGAAAATGTAGAACATTATCTTCAGTTATGTAGTGAGTATTCAAGGATGGTACATTCAAAATAGGACTCTGTGACTGCATGGAGCTAGTGAAGTGTTTAATGTGCTCCAACCCCATTGTGTTTCAGTGCACCTGCAGGAGAGACATGGTGAAAATTTCAATGGATATCTTTGTGAGGAAATTTCAACCAGACAGATACCAGCTTTGGAAGCAAGGAAAGGATATATACACTATTGATCACACAAAGCCTACTCCAGAATCTACCCCTGAAGTAAAAGCATGGCTGCAGAGGAGAAGGAAAGTAAGAAAAGCATCCAGGAGGTAATGATCCTTTCCCAACCCCATCCGATTTATGCTTCCTCTGTTAAAATGGGTCATTGACTGTGAAATTCTCAAAAAGACTATTTTCATTTGCTTTTTTCTTGTTTATTCTACGTTCACTTAATATGCTACCGAAAATTTGAGGGAAAGTGATTTTAGTTCTTGAGAAGTGTAATAAATAAATAGAATTTAGGAAGGGATACACATTGTCTTTGAGAGTATTCCTGAAGTTGCTATATGTGGCAGATAGAACAAAGGGGTCTAGAACCTCTTAGACTCCTTATGGTAATGAATTTGAGGTTGCATTTTTACTCTCTGTTCATCTCCATATTTCTGTCAACTTCAAAACTTGATTTCCAACTGTTTTGTTTTGCTACTGATTTTCTTTCTGACTTTGGTAGTTTTCTTCTTCATTTGTCAGACATCTAAGATACTACTTTTCTCATCAGGGTGCCTGTATTTTGCTGCATTTATACACTTGGTTTTATTCTTTATAAGCTGTAAAGCAGAGCATGTGCTGGTTATCCCGATTAACTTATCCTACATTTCGTTTTTGTGACCAGGGCCATTTCAAAAGCTTTTAGGCCTATTGTGGGCATTTCACTGTTTTAAAACCCATTGAATTGGGTGTGGGTTATATTGCTCAGGTCCTCAGGCAACCTTCTTAGGCTCTTATATTTTCCAGGTTTATATTACATTCTTACTCTCCAATATTACTCATTGTTTTTCTTTCAGATTGTAAAAGTAATATTTGGGCATTGGAGAAAATTTGTAAAATAAGGAAAAGAATAATGAAGGAATCCCAAATCACCCATAACCTCACACTCCAGAGATAACCAGTGTTAACATTTTGTATATATCCTTTACATATATATTTATTACATGTTATATATTATATACCTTTCCAAAATTGGGGCCATGCTCTATTAACAATTTGATTATCAGTTTTGTGAGTGTTTTTTCATGTAATTGAGTAATTTGCTATAGCGTAATTTTTAATGCCTGCATGTATTTAACTTATCTCCTGTATTTGGACCTGTAGCTTGTTTTCAGTTTTTTACTATTAACTGAATAACACTAATTTTCAGTCTTTGCTCACACTCTTGATGCTTATTTTCTTATGCTCTTTCTTTCCCCTGACATATATTTTCTGCTATTTTAGAATGGTAGTGAGTGGAGGAGCCTTAAACATGGATCAAACTTTCACATTCTATAACAGATATACCTGAAGCACAAAATTAGTTAATAGCTGAACTAAAACTCACTGTTCTTATTTCACCGTGTAGTTTACAGTAGTGATTTGCAAACTATCAGTTTTTAAATCTGTTTAGTATGGTTAGGAACAACATTTTAAAATTAAGAAATAGAATAAAAGGTATCATAACCCTTCACATGTAGTAAAGGTAAGTATTAATTCATGGCATGTGTGAGCATGTGTGTGTCTCGTGTCACTACTTAAAATACATCTTACTATGGGTTGCATTCCGCAAAGTTTGGGAAACACTTTAGAGAGTTAATGCCAGTAGAGCTAACTGTAGGAGGAGGCAATAGTTAAGCTTGAGTTCTGAAGAAACACCAGTAGACCATCTTAAGAATTGTTCTTTAATGGACAGAAAACACAGTACAGTAATTAAGTGTATGATCTGGTCTCCTAGTTACTAACCACAGTGGTCATTTGGGTTGATGGAGAACGTAGATCTATGGTTCTGAACAAGAAGATTTAAAGTGCCTTTCAGTAGGTTTCAAATAATCAATGGACTTCACTCACCCTGTTAGAAAGTTTTGTTTGAAGGCTGTTGTTGTGTTGACCAGTCTGCCATTATAAAGGCATATATTAGTTACATCTTTGAGACTGCTTCTTTACCACTATTTGAATGATAATCTGCCTTATTACATAGAATATTGGCCTAGACACAGTTTAACCTGTGTGAGGTCTTCCAAGGAAACTTGTTTTATATGCTATGACTGGTAAATATATACTCATAAGAATCAAAGTCCTAGTGGATTCAGAATGATCTTTTCCTTAAACTTCCCACCTTACTAGTGGGTATGTTTGTAGTGGTGATGGTGGGTGTTTCACATGATATGCTGTAGCAGAGACTGTTCACTTGCTTCAATTATTGGTTAATTTGTGAGAGTATGTGTGTTAATAAACATAAATGTGATTAAAATAGATCTTGGGGAAAATTTCCTTCAACCTATTGGTTAAATTATTCTAATTACATATTCATTGGCTACTTTTGTTCTTTAACCTAGGTTTTCAGCTTTACAGACTTCCCAGCATTTGGCTCACAGACACGTCCATGTGATGGAGTGTGATCCTTCTGTTTCAGGAAATGCTTTCGAAGTGTGTTTTTCCTTCCAGTTGTTTGCCTGATAAACTCTACAGTGCATTCTAACATTTTATTTTACCATTTATAATGTGAATATATAGGTTGATAGCTTCATTCAGAAGAAATCAAATTTATCACACACTGAATGTTTGAAAATGTAGAACATTATCTTCAGTTATGTAGTGAGTATTCAAGGATGGTACATTCAAAATAGGACTCTGTGACTGCATGGAGCTAGTGAAGTGTTTAATGTGCTCCAACCCCATTGTGTTTCAGTGCACCTGCAGGAGAGACATGGTGAAAATTTCAATGGATATCTTTGTGAGGAAATTTCAACCAGACAGATACCAGCTTTGGAAGCAAGGAAAGGATATATACACTATTGATCACACAAAGCCTACTCCAGAATCTACCCCTGAAGTAAAAGCATGGCTGCAGAGGAGAAGGAAAGTAAGAAAAGCATCCAGGAGGTAATGATCCTTTCCCAACCCCATCCGATTTATGCTTCCTCTGTTAAAATGGGTCATTGACTGTGAAATTCTCAAAAAGACTATTTTCATTTGCTTTTTTCTTGTTTATTCTACGTTCACTTAATATGCTACCGAAAATTTGAGGGAAAGTGATTTTAGTTCTTGAGAAGTGTAATAAATAAATAGAATTTAGGAAGGGATACACATTGTCTTTGAGAGTATTCCTGAAGTTGCTATATGTGGCAGATAGAACAAAGGGGTCTAGAACCTCTTAGACTCCTTATGGTAATGAATTTGAGGTTGCATTTTTACTCTCTGTTCATCTCCATATTTCTGTCAACTTCAAAACTTGATTTCCAACTGTTTTGTTTTGCTACTGATTTTCTTTCTGACTTTGGTAGTTTTCTTCTTCATTTGTCAGACATCTAAGATACTACTTTTCTCATCAGGGTGCCTGTATTTTGCTGCATTTATACACTTGGTTTTATTCTTTATAAGCTGTAAAGCAGAGCATGTGCTGGTTATCCCGATTAACTTATCCTACATTTCGTTTTTGTGACCAGGGCCATTTCAAAAGCTTTTAGGCCTATTGTGGGCATTTCACTGTTTTAAAACCCATTGAATTGGGTGTGGGTTATATTGCTCAGGTCCTCAGGCAACCTTCTTAGGCTCTTATATTTTCCAGGTTTATATTACATTCTTACTCTCCAATATTACTCATTGTTTTTCTTTCAGATTGTAAAAGTAATATTTGGGCATTGGAGAAAATTTGTAAAATAAGGAAAAGAATAATGAAGGAATCCCAAATCACCCATAACCTCACACTCCAGAGATAACCAGTGTTAACATTTTGTATATATCCTTTACATATATATTTATTACATGTTATATATTATATACCTTTCCAAAATTGGGGCCATGCTCTATTAACAATTTGATTATCAGTTTTGTGAGTGTTTTTTCATGTAATTGAGTAATTTGCTATAGCGTAATTTTTAATGCCTGCATGTATTTAACTTATCTCCTGTATTTGGACCTGTAGCTTGTTTTCAGTTTTTTACTATTAACTGAATAACACTAATTTTCAGTCTTTGCTCACACTCTTGATGCTTATTTTCTTATGCTCTTTCTTTCCCCTGACATATATTTTCTGCTATTTTAGAATGGTAGTGAGTGGAGGAGCCTTAAACATGGATCAAACTTTCACATTCTATAACAGATATACCTGAAGCACAAAATTAGTTAATAGCTGAACTAAAACTCACTGTTCTTATTTCACCGTGTAGTTTACAGTAGTGATTTGCAAACTATCAGTTTTTAAATCTGTTTAGTATGGTTAGGAACAACATTTTAAAATTAAGAAATAGAATAAAAGGTATCATAACCCTTCACATGTAGTAAAGGTAAGTATTAATTCATGGCATGTGTGAGCATGTGTGTGTCTCGTGTCACTACTTAAAATACATCTTACTATGGGTTGCATTCCGCAAAGTTTGGGAAACACTTTAGAGAGTTAATGCCAGTAGAGCTAACTGTAGGAGGAGGCAATAGTTAAGCTTGAGTTCTGAAGAAACACCAGTAGACCATCTTAAGAATTGTTCTTTAATGGACAGAAAACACAATACAGTAATTAAGTGTATGATCTGGTCTCCTAGTTACTAACCACAGTGGTCATTTGGGTTGATGGAGAACGTAGATCTATGGTTCTGAACAAGAAGATTTAAAGTGCCTTTCAGTAGGTTTCAAATAATCAATGGACTTCACTCACCCTGTTAGAAAGTTTCATGTTAAGGGGCTTGTTGATTATGCTGTCTTGTGTCTCAGTCATAGAGTTGCTGACTCCCTTAATAAACTATCTAGAAAATCTAATGAAGGGAATGATTCATTGAAATCTTAAAGAGATATTAGCCATCTTATTTCACATGGGCTGTGCTGTTCATAATGTGAAGATGTTCTGCAGTTTTTACATTGGCCAGTGCATGATTCTCAACAAAAGTGATAATGGTGCTGATGTTACCTGTACGTTATTGCTAACAGCAAGGCGAAGCTAAGTTAGATAGGTTATCACTGGTTGCTCCTCCCTGATCTCAGATCTCTGCTCTACCTGACTTCGTATGGTACTTACTGTTGTGTTTTATTGCATTTATATGTATGTGTGTGAGTTTGGACAATGAAATGCCTGTTGCTTTGATTTCAGTTTTAATTTTTCTTGAATGAAAATATTAGGAATGTTGTATCTTATACAAAAGGCATCTATGACAAAGCTATTAAGTGACTGCTCGAAAATACTGAGGAAAAAAGTAAAAGTGGTCTCCACTCTGAAAACAATAAGTTGATATAAAATGTTAAATCCATACAGTTAGCCTTCCTCTTCTCTTAATTCCTTTAGCTATTAATGATTTGGCATTTAATTTTAATGATTTTCATGCATATTTCAGAATTTTATGAAAGGAAAGTGTGGTCACTAGTTCACCTTAGAATGTAAAAGATCCACTCAGATTTTAACAGGATCTCCTCATTTCCTTTTCCTTTCTTTATTATCTAAAAATATATTTGCTTTATTGATTTGATTCTCTCCCATGCCATAATTTTTCATTTTATTTTCATTTTTTATTCTATATTTATTTTCCCCCATGCCATAATTTTTCAGTTTTTCATTTTTTATTTTATTCTGTATATATTTTCATTTTATTGTTTTCAGATTTCTTTTAATATTGTTATAACATTTTAGCAATAGCATTTTCCCCACTAATGTTTAATAATCAATTATTTGTAATTGTTTTAATTTTAATTTTTAGTAAAATTGTAACTAAAACTGTTGTTAGATTTCAATTTCCGATTTAATGTATTATGAAGATTATCTCTGCATAATGATTTAAAAACTGTGAGTTTTTTCTTTTACTTGGTTAAGTGAAAATAACATTTGTATTGGTATGTGTTTTATCCTGTCCATGGCAAGCATTCTACTCTGACCAGAGCTCTTCCTGTTAATAGCTCCCAGTGTACAAGTTCTCACTCAAAGAGGCCTAAGAGTGAGGAGGATGAGGAAGTCTCAGCTGCAGTCAGTGGGGCAGAGGGCCCCACTCCCGACCCAGACCAGGACGACCTCAAGGTCAGGAACAAGCCGGAAGGAGCCTCGAAGCTGGGGAACACAGAAGCACCTTCGGAAGAAGAGACCTCTGCTAACAGGATGCAGCTGGATCAGAATTCACCAGGTAATACCTGACTGTCAGGTGAGAAACCTGCTGATTGTGCTTCACATAGAAGTTGTAGGTGGTTGACGATCTGATATCTTAAATCTTTGTTCATTGGTATAGACATCTTATTTTTTCACATGGCTTAACCAATAAGGTCTCTAAAGTCATGGAGGGAAAACCAGAAGGCCAAGTGAGTGTCGGGAACAAGTCAGGAACAACGCTGCTACGTGTAATGGAACTGAGATGAACAGCCAGCAGTGCCTGTTTGGGTTAATAAAAGAGAAGATTCTACAATGCATTTTTTTTGGGGGGTGCAACTCAATATACGATATACAATACATTCTTGGAAAGTTTTTTTTGAATTCACATGGAACAGAGAAAACCAATTATAGATAATTCTTTGCAGATTCCTAGCTTTCGACTTATTTTAGGAAGAAAATAAAGATTAAGGTTTTAAAAAAGAACAAGAAAATCATTCAGCCTTGTGAAATGGTATGTATAGTCAGTCCTCTGGCTGTTTCTCTATACCAAAGTTATTGTCTGTAAGCCTCAGCTACTTTGCTTTTTTCCCCTTTTATAGCATATTTCTCTGAAACTGCTTTAATGCTTTGCCTGTTTAATATGTGTGGAAGCTTCTGTCCTTTTACCAATCGGTAAAAGCTTATTTGGCAATTCCTCTCTTCCTTTCCTACCCCTCTTGCAGTCTGTCCTTCGGTTGTGGGGCTCCCCTGGGTCTGGCCACCTGCCCCTGCTGGTTCAGTGCACCATTTGTCTGGCACCTAGGCTGTTGCAGAAAGGGAGTACTCCCTGGTTTGTCAGTGTCCACTCCAGTTACCCACATCAGCCCTCCATATGGCAGTGGTAGTGATCCTTCTAGAAGACCTAGGTTAGGTTCTGTCCCTACCTGTTTTTGTTTTTTATTTTTATTCCACTTAGAGTAAAAGAAAAAAGTCTGTATCATAGTCCTAATTGATCTGATCCTTGCCTGCTTCTCCATCTTCATTACCTTTTGCTCTTGAAATATCTGTGTTAATAGAGTTTAAATCATAGATTTCTTTTTCAGCCAATTCATGCTTTATTGGAGAGCTGGACAAATAAACATATAATTACAATGCTTGTGTTGGGTACCATGGTAGAGATGGCTAAGGGTGTTGGTGTTACAACAAAGAAAAAACCAAAACAGATAGGAGGCTGGACTGGTCTTGTTTCTTGGAGTAGGTGATGGCTGAATTGATTTGTGATGGATGGAAATAAGATTGCAAGGAGGAGAAGGTAGGGAAGGAAGAAAAGCAGTTCAGAGATCACAGATGGGTAGTGCGTATAGGTATTTCTTTCCTGTCCCTCACCATAGCTTTTATCAACTTTAATTGATTAGCTACTTTAGGAACTTAATTAACTGCTGAATGAATTATTGGAAGTTTAGGCTAAGGGCATTCAGTTTTATCTCTTTGGCACTACATGGTTCCTTGAATTTTGATCTCAGGTTTTGACACCTTAAGAACACTTAAGTAGAAGGCTTGTCTGGGTTCAGTATCAGAGCTAGTGTGTGACAGGTGAAATGATGCCTGTGTGTATCTGTGTGTGTCTGTGTGTATGGGAGGGAGAAGGGCACATAGAGATGGCAATGGAAAGGAAGTGCTTGTGATATTCTTTTCCCTTTATATGCTGTCAGTTTGATACAGGATTAGTGTAGAAAGTAATTTTTTGGGGGTCTGTACAATCCTACTTGTGTTCTTTACACACATCCTCTGAGCTGTAATGTTTTATCAATAGCTCTTAGCATCGTATGTTGGAATATAATTCTTATTTTTAGAAAGGTTTCAAATTGCTATTGCTTTTGATAATTATTGCTCTTACCCTGGCTTTTAATATTGGTCTATAGAAGAGCCTCTCTTTAATCCCTTGTCAGTAAGGGTATTTTTTTTTTGCCAGACTCCAAGGTCTCACCATGTGGTGCTTTGGTAACCGTTTTTGCTCATATCTGCAGGAGTTTAGATGGGGAGTGGGAAGATAGAAATTTGGTTAAGAATAGCTTAACAGTTCTACTTGGTCATAATACAATGCAAGATTTATTAACAGTCTTTTGTTTTACTCCTCAGGAAATAGCTGCATAAGCACATCTCTAAAAGAGGAAATAAAAACTGAGGATGACCGAGCCTATGCTGTAATCCCACCTTTGAATCCCAGTGAGGTTGATGATTCCATATCTAGTGGTCATGTGAAGTTTGAGGAATCAGAGCCACCCAAGCTTCCTTGGCCAAAGTCACCTGAGTCGTGGTCCTCAGTGGCAGAGAGTAACAGTGTGTTGACAGAGGAAGAAGAGAGTGATGTGGAGAGCCGTGGGAGTGGCCTTGAACATGGTGAAGTCCCAGCAGTCCCCACTGGAGAGAGAAATGGCTTCAAAGTCCCCAGTGTACGTGGCAGTGTCCATTTTTACTGTATTTATTGTATGGCATGAACACTTTCTGAAAACAGCATGTTGTGCATTGAAGTCTTGCTTTAGGGCAGAAATAACATTTCATATTTATGGGGCTTAATCATATTTCCTTTGATACCTGGGAGGTAAGTCTTCTGCGAGCTCAGGCCCACATGGTGATAATTCAGAGTCTGAAACTTTTGGCCACATGTTGGAGGTTAATTTCCTTCCTTTTTAAATTTTTCTAAAATTATACTCATTATTTTGAGATAATTATAGATTCATAGGCAGTTGTAAGAAATAATAGTACAGAGAGATTCTGTGTACTGTTTCCCCCAGTGGTAAACTGTAGTAGGTTGTCATAACATGTTGACATTGATACAGTTAAGATACAGAATAGTTCTATTACCTACGATATTAACTAGGCTGGAAATGATTCATCTGCAGGACTTTGACCTCCTGCCAATAGTTAATACCAATGGGTCCTAGGCTTCCCACAGCCTCTATTTTAACATCAGGGCTCACTTGGTCAGGCTTGCCCTTGACTTTCTCCTCATGGACTCTAATTCTGGGACTAAGCTGACCTTTCTGGTCCTGCCCACTGCCAGAAACAGGCCTCTTGCCTCTTGGAAAACTCATGACCCCTTTGGATTACCAATCTTTCCATTCTATCTCTTTTCATAGGGCCTCCCTGTTTCTTGTACAATATTAAAGTCATGTGTTTTCACCATAAACTGTCACTGTTACTGTAAGATTATGACAGATTAGGCAAGCTCTGTGTGTAGTGATTGTCAAATTCAGTAACTTCTTTTGATCTATACAAATCGATGAGGGAATTCAAATGGATGAGTAAGGGGAGTCTCAATTGTTTGAGCTGATAAATTGAGCTGCCTGCTGAACCCACTTCTTGATTGCTCCCTCTCATTTCAACTCATCACAGGTTCACATCTTTGAGCAACAAGGGAGATTAGATTAGGAAATCCACTTGGAATACTCTGTTTATAAGCAGTTAAAATGTCAAAAGATAAATTTTCTGGTTTGATCCAATACTTCTATTATTTTATGCATAGTTGTTTATCCTACTGCTATAAAATATTTATCAAAATATATGAGAAATAGATAAATATGGTCTAATTTATTTGAAAAGATGGCTAAGAGAAATTTGAAAATAATATTCACATATGAGTTAACAAACTTCACACCTTAATTTCATGTAGAGATTAAGTATAGCTGAGCGCAAGCACATAGTGGGATCTTTTGTGAAATGGTGAGTCAAATGCCTTTTTAAATTATATTTAGTCACATTCTTTAAACTGGAATAGAACCACAAGTACCTTTTCCATTTCCTTGCTTTTGGTGGAGATGATTTTATCCTCAATGCTTTTAGCCTTCATCTTCATCATTACCCTGAACAGATGGCCCTCGTGGGAAAGCACATGCTGTTGAGGTTGGGTGACTGGTTTGCCCCTTCTCAGAAACAGCCATATGGTAGTCTTTTCTCATACCTTAGTGTTGGACAGTCCTTCTAGGTAGTACATAGCAGTTCTTTTTGTGTAGCTCTGACCAGTGATTCTTAGTTTTAACTGTAATGCTCTGTGTAGCAGTGAGCTTTAGTCAGTTTTCCCAAGAAATATTGTTATATTTTGAACATTGTCTCTCTGCCTATCTATAACTGGGCTCCATGTTCTCCCTGGAATACCCCAAATATATTCATACTTTACATGCTATTCCTGCTGCCCCAGATAGTCCTTGCCTAGAGAGCTCAGTGTATTCTCCCTCACTGCACTCAAGTCTCCATTCAAATGTCTCTGTCAGAAAGGCCACTCCCCATCTCTTTATATTCCTTCTCTTGCTTTTTCCCCCTTTTTATCACATATTTACTTAATGCCTGATAAATACATATTCTTGCTTATTTATTATTTGTGCCCTTCCCCCTCTATAGTGCACTCTCCTTGAAAGCAGGGACCTGGCATAGCATTTCCTGCGTGTGTCAGCTTTCAGAACAGGGTTGCACATAGTAAGAGCCTAAGAAGTAGTTCTTGTAGTTGACTGAGTTAATTTTTAGCTATTATAGGCCACAGATAAATCTCAGTTGTATTACTTGCTATCCTTTCCCCACCCCCAGCTTTGATTAGAATGTTCTCACCCATTTACTTATAATCTTGTTTGGTGTCAGATGCTTCTTCTCATTACTGGGAAATTTTTGAGACTTCTTTCTTTCCTAGTCAACTGTTGATACAAACCCATTACTTTTAGACTCACTGCTTCCCCCCAACTTTTTTTTTCTTTTTGAATTGCGTGGGCCAGAAGCACATGTAAGTTCTGTCTGGAAGATGTCAGGGTACACATGACTTGTTTCCTTTTCCTTTGAAAGGAAAATGTAGCTTGAAGAGCCTACCACAAAAGAGTTTATATGAAATTTAAGAGGTATCAAGATGATAGTAATGTGCCATATTAAAAAGAGAAAAAAAACTTTTGAATTCTTGTTTGATCCTCAGAGAAGCAGTGATTCATTTCTGCAAGGAAGGCAGTTTACAGCTCAACTTGGTAGCATTGCTTTCTGTGTGAGTACAAAAAGCAAAATAACCTGCCACATATTCATATGGGACCAGTGTAGAAGTGTCTAAATGCCATGGTCCTAAATTGTTATGAATGTATATTCCTAAATTTAGATTAGTTTTAAGCAACTTTTGCAAACTTGCTAATAGCTTAGTAAATTGCAGTCCTGATAAACCTACTCTGCATGATAGATAGTGTTTTTAATATGAGGTAGAAGGACACTTAATTGACCAGTTGGTAAGATAACTAATAGAATGGATGCCTGTTTCTTTTGATTGAAGATTTAAATTTCTTTTAACAGGAACTAATTTCCCAGAAGGTAAATAAGTACAAGAGTTCTTCATAATTAAATTGTTGTAGATTATTGTGAACGATAGTTTTTTTTTTAAAGTAAGTCTTTAACTGTGGGCATTTCTCCCCCATTTTTGTTCTGTAACCAGAGAATAGAGGGAGAAACCAAAACTGCTAAAAGTTGGCGCCACCCACTTAGTAAGCCTCCGGCAAGATCTCCAATGACTCTGGTGAAGCAACAGGCAGCAAGTGATGAAGGTGAGCTTGTGATGTTTTTATTATTTATTCTGTATATAATGTATAGTATTCAGTATTTATTCTGTTAGTTTGTTGTAACAAACTTTTTAAAGAAATTGCTTGGTAGAGAGGAAATTTGACCCAGTTGCAAATAAGTATCATAAGGAGATCATAGGTAATAAATAGTTTACAGGTGAAAGGAATTTGGATTTTAAGGATAAATACCTGCTTCAGATATTCTAGCCATGTTCCTAGAGAAAGTTGTCCCATTTTACATGATGGGATAAAATTGGCCTTTCCTGACATTCACTTTATGTTAATCCAAAAGCTGAGAATCACTTCTATAAAGGTGTCATGGAATTAATATGCATTATTTTTAACTCAAATCCTTTAAATTTATTAACATCATCTTGAGTAAGAAACTCTGTGCAATACTTTCATAACCTGTTATACCTGGTGTGTGGTGAAATAGCCTTTCTCCTTTTCTAGATTTTACTGACATGGCTTGATGTGAAGTAGTTACATTTACAACCAGTTGCTTTTACTGAATGTAATATTTATGTTTCTTTTACCTGGCTACTCTTTTTTTAAACCTCTCTTTTTCCAAAAATGTCTTTGTGTTGCTTTCAATTAAAAATCAGACCACTGATCAGTTATTCTTTTCTTAAAAGTGTCTCTTATCATCATCAGGGCCTTATTTTTTTTCCATCTTTAAAAGATCAATTCAAGTAACTTTTCTGTAAAGATTCCTTTTTTGAGATAATATCTTTTACTGGTGCAAATTGTTAATTAAGATCATGTGTCTGGAAGGATGCTGTCAAGGAGTAATACGTATCTTGGGTTTGAGTTTTTATTTAGTTTAAATATATTTATCAGAGGAGACCTCTGCAGCAGATTTTTTCTTTTTATTCACTGTCTGCTTTTATACCCCATGTTTAGTTAGAAGAAAAGTTCATCAGTGTAGGGATCATAATGAGGGTAGCAGTTTCTATAACACTAGTCTAAGGTAGAATTCTGCCTCTAGTAATTGAAGAATGAAACATTTGTTTTTATTTCCACATATCATTATGTTCAGTACTTCTTTCTCCTACTTCATCATACCCAAAACAGACCGTTTTCCCCTTAGTGTCAAGATAAAGAACAATTCTGTGTAAAGTAATTGATATTTTACATATATTACTTGAGAATTTTAGTTACCCTTCCTCATCATGGCCTATATTTAGCATAGCTTTTTGGAAGGGATTGTGCTAAGGTAGCACATAAAGAAAAATGCTTTTTCCTGTGTCCCTATTCTCCCAAGTAGTTAATTTTGACGTGGGCCATGGTAAATTGGCCCAGAGTTTCTCCATGGAGAGCAGTCCTGATTTCCATCAGTGTGGCCAGCAAAATTTATAAGTGATTTGATTTAACTAAGTAGCGAAGGCTTGAAGTTCAGCATCTTGCTGAAACACTGGTCAGTGTAGCTTTGCAGCAGTCCCACTCTCTGTTTCAATATGTTAAGGATTTCTGGGGTCCTCTGAGGATTTTTGTGAGTTGAAAAGAAAAATCAGAGAATTTTCCTGATAGCTAAAGATTTTTACAAGATTCCAAACTGACTCTTGGATAATATTCTGTATCCTGGAGTTAATTATTTATATATTGGGCACTTGAATATTACCT